TGAGCAAAATATAAACAAATAAATAAGTGGAAAAGATAGAAAAAATTTAAATATTATTTTTTAGAAATAGAAAGGAGGAAAAATAAGTAAATAGATGGAGTCAAAGAGATAGATAGATGGTTAAAAATGTGCTAGAAATACTTGTAGATAGATGGATATATAATGGATGGATCAAAGGGCAGATATAGTAGTTAAATCTATATGTATATAGATGGATATATAAGATATGATAGATGATTAGATCTATAAGTAAAACCCTATTTACGGTAGGTATATATAGATAAATACATAAATTGCTACATAGATGAATCAACATATAAATGATCTATATATTGATAGATAAACATATATTTAGGTATAAAAATTAACAAAAGAAATAAATCATAGAGCAGATAAATAGGGGTTTCATGAATATTTCATAAATATTTTGTTTTGTGAATTAGTTTTTTATTTGGCTAGATTTGGTTTACTAGGAGTTAGTTTTATAAAAGTGGTCCCGGTGATCAATCTCCCCCTGCAGCTGATCCATTGAGGAATAAAAATATGTATTAAAATAAAATAAAAAGCGAGTAGTTGTACTTTTCTTGGTAAAGAAGGCAGACGCCAAACTTATTGGATCTTGGCTCATTACAGAGAATAGATCATGTACAAGAAATATTCCACTGATAATCAATTTCATGCCTGCAGCTATTCTTCAGCTAGAAAGAGGAAGAGCGGCATGCACTGCTCAGGCTTAAAGCTGAACTACGCAACTTTTAATTAAGTTCTCAAACTTTATATATTATATCTAAATTTGTATATATACATATGCATATACTGACTGACATTATTGCACTTATAAGTAGTATATAATATCCACACGTATTTATATATAGTACCAGTCCCGAAAGAATCTTTCGAACTTGATGGATCATCGCATGCCAAAGATTTGCGGCGCAACTTTTCAACACCTCAAGGCAAGAAACTTTTTCCCCACATAGATATACGCCTATATATGTATGCATGTATATAGTGTATATAGCATTACATTTCTCTTGACTGTCGTCAGCGGTTTTTCGTATTTATGCGCCCCTCTGGTAGCGCCATAAAGCTCTCGCGGGCCGTTATAAATACACGCTTTAAAGCAATTTAGCTGACGCTCGGGCCTAACCAGGAGCTACCCATGACGAGGCCAGGAGTGCAGGAAATGCATTTTAAATGTCGAGCACGGCGTAAATAACCCGTTAATGTTAACATGCACACGGCAATGGCAACGGCAACGGCTACGGCTACGGCTACGGCTACGGCTACGGCTACGTCTACGGCACCAGCTCCAAAGCTCCAACTGCAATTGCAGCAACGACTCCGACAACGGGTCCTGGCCCGGGTCTGGGTCTGGGTCCGGGTCGCGGCATGCCAATGCGTTGCCTTAATTTATGTGTCACGGCAATGGCGACAACACAAGGACGCTTCGACGGCCAAAACTATTTCATTTCATTCGACTCGATTCGATTTTCAGTGCGCACAGGCAAAAGTTTGACAGCCACTTGGCACCTTGGAACTTTTTTTGCCATGCCACGGCCCCACCCACGGCCAGCCACTGCTAGTTCGGCATATCCTTTGCATATACAACAAGTTGATGTGGAGTTGAGTGAACACTGACAGACTAATAGATGACCTGTGCACGAGGCTTGTGCCTAACTGGTGGAATATTATAGAATTTCAGATCATAATAAACATGTATCTCATTTCCTGACTTATGGGTAATGCAATATTTTATAGCTAAGCTGATTATATATTTTATTGGGAATGGTATATATAAAAGAGATTTGTATATTTGATTTATAAAGATGGCGCTTGAACTCTGAGTTATAAGAAATAATATTTCACACATATTTAAGTCAAATATTCAAGTTGTGTTTATCTTCATAGTAAAATGCTTAAATATAGTACTTTTGTTCTCAAACTAATTAAGTTGACTTCAATTTGAATATTTGATTGCTATAAAAATTCCATCAAAGTAAATAAAATAAATATTTTTGTATTTTCCTCTTTAAGTCTAAGAGCTCTCTATCATTCATTTGTTTGTTGTTTATTTCCAGTGAGAGTTAAAGGCAAACTTACTAATTCACAAATTTATTCTCAGTTCTACAGAAAATCATTATTTCAGTTTTCCGCTGTATATATTATCCTTGATCATGATTTCTTATGATTCCCAGAAATACAGTAATTTGCAATTTATGGGTGTTCTGAGTGTTCAAGAAAAAAATCTATTTTCAGCCTTGACTAAACTAAGTTTAAGAATATATATGAGGAAAAATTTAAATACATATATATTTTTTTATTTGACGAAATGTTTCCAGATTAAAAAAAAAAAAAAAACTTCTTAACATAAAAAAATGTTGTTTTCTATATTATAAAAGTTTAAAAAAAAATTAAAAAAAAAAGTCTATACACAATATTTTCCGATATTAATCAATGATTTCAATGGCAAAAATCCACTTATTATTTAGTGTAAAAATGCAAATACTTTTTATATTTATTCACAGATGCCTCACAAGCAGATCTTTGTCCTCAGTCGAACAATCAGTCAGTTGCCTAATTTAGAAACTAATTAAATTCCAATTTTGCTGGAGATTGTCAAAGCGAATAACATCGTTCTATAGCCAATTTCAATGGGTATGCGGTATAAAAAGACTTACACACACTCACACACAGGGAGAGAAACGCAAACACGAAAAGTTCAGTAGTTGGCCAAAAGTCACTTGGCATGCATATAAATTGTCAGCCATTAAATTTGCATTGACATTTTGGCCGTGCAGCATCGCCCCCTAAGCCATTCGCCATACGCCATTTGCAATGTGCCACGCCCCCTTTAGCACCCACTTTTTGGTTTTAGTTTTTAGCTTGGTGATTTATTTGTGCGCTCTTTGATTGCATGGCCGGAGCCAACGAGAGCAGCAGCAGCGGCAGCAGGAGCAGCAGGAGCAGCGACAGCGGCAGCGGCAGCAGGAGCCGCAGCTTCATCCTGCCAAGTTGTTTGCCATGTTTTGATGCTTGTTTTTATTGAATTTGCTGAATTAATTTGACTGCAGCATCATCAGATAACGAACAAAAAAAAAAAAAATCAACAAAACGGAAAAGATAAAAAACCCAAATAAGAAATAGACCAGAGAGTAGAAGACAAGAAGAAAAGAATTGGCCAACGTTGATTAAACTTGGCTTTGCCACTGACAGCCAACTGAGTGGAGGGGCAGTTCAGAGACCACTCCAGACCCCATCTACATATTCGACATCTCTGCTGCTGCTCTTGGCCAGCAATTAGACTAATACCAAGGCCATGCCACGGCTTTTACCTTATGGCCCTATTGAGCCGCCATCTATCTCGTTATGGTCAAAGCCTGGCACGGCATTGACTGCATCTACGACTGCTTGACAACGATTTCTATTCCCGGCTTATGCAAGAGCTAAACATGCTGGGAAAAACTATGAGAAAACCCGGTTCGAGTATAAAAAGTCAATCACAAAGCAAGAATTGTCATTGTGCATGCTGAGCTGAGGTCCCTGACTGAATCAATCAATCGATTGACTGAAAGCCTGACAGCGGCTAGCCGGCTTGCTGACGAGCATGTAAGTTCTGATTAGCTGAGTGAGTCACAGACTAATTAACTAATCAACCAACTGACTGACAAAGCGGCAGAATGTTTGACTGATGCAAAACCTTTAGAATACACACGAGCTGCTTTGAGTGATTGATGGATTGATTGAGTAATTAACTAACTTGCTGACTTCTTCACTGGTTGATCCACTGAGTAACTGTTTAACTCAGTGACTGATTAACTAACTTGCCAGCCAAAGTGACTAAGTGACTTAGTGAATGCCTGAGTAAATGCAAACAAATTAACTAGTTAATAAATGATTGATCGACTGATTGACTAATTGACTGACTCAATAATTTATTTATTACTTCGCGCATTGATATATTAATTGATTAAGTGATTCACTCACTAACTAACGTATTACGTACGACAGGAATAAATCTTTAACTGATTGATTGACTCATTGGCTGAGTAACTCCTTGTCCCTATGACTATATGTTTGATTGTGATTGGCCAATTGACTAAAATTTAACCTGATTGACTGAACACATATTTGATTAGTGGAACAACCAAGTGACTGATTGAGTGACCTATTTACAACAAATTTATAAATGATTGATTGATTGATGACGATTGATGTGCAAATTGATTGATTATGTCTGCTTGATTAATAAGCCCACTGACTGACAGTTGACAGACTTCTTACTTGGAGAGTACATGTAACTTAGAGACAAATAAAGTTCAGTTTGAATTTTTTAAAAAGCTGATAGATTGACTGCTTGATTGACTGTTTGACTAGCTCCTCAAATCCCTCACTATGCAACTATATGTTGATTAACTGGCTGATCGTTTATTAATTAATAGTTGAATATATTAGTAATCTGATTGACTGACTCCTACATGATTGATTGACTGACCAACTAGCTAATTGACTGACTGATTGACTCACTGGCTAGATAGCTACAATAATGGACTATCAGATATATGAATTGCCTATTGCCTATTGACTAGCTGGCTTACCTCTCTGTTGCAAAATGATTGATTGATTAAGACTGACTAACTTCGATTGACTGATTCTTTAGTTAATAACTTGCTGATTACGCGCTGCTTGATTGACTGACAAAGACTATAACCCACATTATGGCTAACTATTTGATTGACTCACTACTTTACCGATTGACACACGCAATCCCTCAATTCAACTTCATGGGGAAGTTCAATTCAACTCTATATAAACTTTCAAGTTTTTCCGCTCATTGCTGTCCACTTCGAATCGCATTGGCACTTGACAAAAACCCAATTTCAGTTGATAATTAAGAACTTTTCGAGCACTTTTAACTGGATGTGTTTGTATGTTTTATTGCGACTAATGGGAAATAGAAATAGAATTAGAATAGACTGGGAGCTTGCAGCATCGCTCGGCTAGTGTCCGTGATCGTGTTCGCTGCTCTTCTTTTGCGACTTGTGCCACTTCTTTTTGTGCTCCTCGCCGCCCTTTTTGCCGTGCTCCTTCTTGTGGCCCCACTTCTTGGCCTCCTCGTGCTTCTTCTTGTGGCCCTGGTGGCCCTTTTTCTTGTGGCCCTTTTTGCTGTGACCCTTTTTGCCATAGTGCTCGTCGTGGCCGCCCTTTTTGTGCTCGCCCTTTTTATAGCTGCTGCCCTTTTTGTGCTTTTTGCCCTCCTCGAAGCCGCCGTGCTTCTCCTCGCCGCCCTCCACATGATCCTCGTCGTAGTATTTCTTTTCCTTTTTGTCCTCGTTCAATTTGTGCACGTTGTGCTTGCCCTTGATGGAGTGCCCCTTCTTGTAGCTGCCGTGATCCTCGAACTCGCTGCCCTTTTCGCCCTTTTCGCCCTTCTTCTTCTTCTTGTGATGGCTCTCCGAGTGCTTGTGCTTCTTTTCGTGGCCCTCCTCCTCGCCGTGCTCGCCCTTCTTGCCCTCCTTGTCGTGGTGGCCCTTCTCACCCTTCTCATGGTGCTCGGCATGCTTGTGACCCTTTTTGCTCTTCTCGCCATGCTCCTTGTAGTGCTCGCTGTGCTTTTTCTCGCCCGACTCCGATTCACCCTCCTCGCCGTACTCCTCGTGCTTCTTCGACTCGGCCGGCTGCAGGTCATCGAAGTGGGCGTGAAAATCGACCAAGTCGCTGCCAGTCAACGGCTCGCCTATAACCATGGCATTGTCCTGCCTGTAGGGATATGGCAGGCTTGTCGTCGCCGCGAGAGCCGCAAGCGTTGCCAGACACGCCAGCTGCCAGGATATTCGACTTGGCTTTGTCGCCATCTTCGCCTCGTTTCAGTTGTCCTCGAAGGCTTTGAGCTGCTGCTGTTGTTGCCACGCCTTGTTGTCGTTGTCTGGTGAGCAGCTCTCCAGCAGCGCTCGCTTTTTATGTGACCGGCCACCCAGCCAACGGCCACGCCTCATTTGCCCAGCTGCCCGGCTGCCCAGCTCTGCGGCTGATTTGGCAACATTTTCTTTGGAACACTCTCGACTCGAGCTTAGTCGTCGTGCCTAAGTGCATAACGCTGTTTCCAAAGCAGCAGCAGCAGCAGCACAAAAACACCCTTGCACAACAAATGGCCAACTTCTTGCGGTTTACTCTTGCCACTTTTTGTTTTGGCCAGAAAACAAGCGACTTTCGTTACGCACGCTCATTGCAAAGGCATTTCAACAAATGACCAAAAGATCGACTGGTCGGAGATGGATAAATCCGAGAGTAGAAATAGCGTACAAATATATTTAAATTTAAAATGTATATAATATATATAAATATATAAATGCAATGCAAGGACACTTAATGCCCCCAAACACTTTAGTTTTTGCTCGATTTAAGAGTGTCGTGCAAGTAAATAAATATTTAATTTATTATTTTATAAATATGTTATCATGACTTCCCTTCATTTCTTATTTTAATTTTATTCGAAATGCGCTTAGGTCCTAAGAGTAACTTGTTGACTGTACTTAAAGAATATACGGAAAATAAATAAATATTATTATATTAAACCTCAAATCTTGTGTAAATATGTAAAAAAGGATAAATATAAATATATATAAATAAAATATATATAAAATAAAAAATAAATAAAATAAATAAAATATATATATAAATATATAAATATATATTAATAAATACAAATAAAGAAGAAATAAAAAAAATTTAATTTATTTAAAATAACAATGTAAATAAATAAAGAAATGAATATTTATGTTATCATGACTTCCCTTCATTTCTTATTTTAATTTTATTCGAAATGCGCTTAGGTCCTAAGAGTAACTTGTTGACTGTACTTAAAGAATATACGGAAAATAAATAAATATTATTATATTAAACCTCAAATCTTGTGTAAATATGTAAAAAAGGATAAATATAAATATATATAAATAAAATATATATAAAATAAAAAATAAATAAAATAAATAAAATATATATATAAATATATAAATATATATTAATAAATACAAATAAAGAAGAAATAAAAAAAATTTAATTTATTTAAAATAACAATGTAAATAAATAAAGAAATAAAAAATATTTATAAATAAATAAATAAAAAAATAAATTAATTATATTAAATATTATTAATCAATAATGATATATAAAAAATAAATAACAAAATAAATTAATATATATATATATATCAATAAAAATATAAATAACTAAATAAGTTAATAAATAGATCAATAAAAATAATAATACGTACATAATTATATAAGTAAATAAAATATTATTAAAAAAAAAAATAAATAAATAAATATATAAATTAATTAATTCATGAACAATAAAGTGCGAATATTTATATTTATGACTCTCTTCCAGTAGACCTTAGTTAAATCAGCTTCCATCTCTTCTTATCCATTCTCTGTGCCGCTGTAACCTCTCAACTAAGCTGGGCAAAAACTCAAGCAAAGCCATATTCAAAAGTTCAGAGCTCAATTGGCGGCCTTTGCCGCTGAGGCCCGCTTCCAGCGGCCTCCTCGCTCAGTCGCCTAGCCGTTGCCGTTGCCACCTGCATTGTCCTAATTGCTAAAGGGGCTGGGCAGACAAATGAAATATGAATGTGTGCTAAGGCACACACACACACAGACATACACACGCATAGTGGGCCGTGTCAAAGGTTAATTACGCATGTTGCAGCTCGCTCGCTTGCCTTGCCTCGGCTCGTCCTTTGTTGCTCGCCTCGCATCGTCCTTGGGCCTGGTCCGTAAATCGCTTAACGCACACTCGTATACTCGTATACCAGGCGCATATGCCTGCGTGCGTGCGTGTGTGTGTGTGTGTGTTTGCTTAAGCCATTTCCGGTTCGATTTTACCCATTGCTCAAAGCTCGTTCGCTCGCTCGCTAGCTTGGGCAGGCAAACAGCGGGCAGCTGGACAGCCGGACAGCCGGACAGCAGGTTGAAAGGACAAACATCTTTGTTTGGTTTCATATGCTAATCCTTCGAGCTGCGTCATAAATCATCCTTGTCCATGCGACACAGAGACACACGGACGGGCGGACAGTTTCTCAATCAGGAATCAAGGCGACGAGCTCTGCCCAGCCTAAAAGCTTCTCTTTTGTATTATTGCCGGCTGAGCAGCGTTGCAATCTGCCGGGATTTGCGGTGGCTGCTGCTGCTGCTGCTGCTGATGCTGCCGCCTCTGCCCCAAAACAAAAGCAATAACAAGGACATGAATATAACAAAAGCATACAGCAGCAGACAACGGCCATCACCTAGCAGCAGCAGCAGCAGCAGCAGCAGCAGCAGCAGCAGCAGCAACAGCAGCTAACAGATTCAACTTCAGTTTCAGACCCAAAAACTTGCAGTCAGGCATTGAAAAGTGTTTTTGTTCAGCGTGCAACTGGCAACGGCATATGTATGTATGTATTTGTGTGTCTGTGTGTGTGTGTGTGTGTGTCTGTGTGTGTGTGCCAGCCCAGGTGAGCAGTCAACAGCCCTTCGCAACTTCTCTCTGGCTGTGGTTGTTTTTGTTAGTGTTTTGGAATTGCCTCGACAACAACAACAATAACAACAACAACAACAACAACAGGGAACAATCCCACATGGCCAGTGGGCAAATGCATTAACGAAAGTGCTTGGGGGGCAGCCGGGGAAGCAACGACGACGTAGAGACAAAGGTGATGGCTAAGTGCAGCAGCAGCAAAAGCAACAGCAGCAGCAGCAGGAGTCGTGCCTTGGCATGGAGTTTGCCTGGTGGCCTGGTATCAGCATTAAGAGATCATAATTCATATAGCTGGGCTAATAATTCAGTTAAGTTGAAATGCGCAATACAGATGCAGCAGCAGTTCCTGCACACACATATTCACACACACACACGCACGCACACTCTAACACACACGACCATATAATTTGATAACCCGCCCCCTAAATGCTATTGTGCTGAGACTGCGTTCTGGAACCAGATGGAACTAGTGGCAAATTGCTGAAACCAATCAAATTAGTCAATCACAAGCCGAATATAAAGCTAATATATATAATAAACTAATACAGATTATTATATATCAATAATTTAATAATAAAGAAATATGTTAAACAAATAAAATAAATAATATATGTATCACAACAACGAATTCCTAGAATAAAGAATGGCTTCAGGGTATAAAAATATATTATTCTATAAAATAATAATATGTACTTAAATAATATTGTCTTTAACTACTAAAACATAGCTCAAAAAAAAAAAAAACTAATTATGATTATAATTTAAATAGAAGCTTAAAAAATTTTAAATATATAGAATTTACTGTAACTTTTATAATTAAAAATCTGATTTATCATCGAATTTTTATTTTATTTCTGTAATAGTTTTCTCTACTGTATAAATTTTAAGACAATTTATGCTTAAATAAAAAATAATATTATTTATAAATAATAATATTTATTTTATTATATTATCAAAATATTACAAATCATGCAAATTTTGTAAAACAGAATAATAAAATGTGAAACGAAATAATTTTGTAACTGAAATTTGATTAAACATAAAATATTTCAGCTAAAAATTAATAAATATAATAACTAAAATTTAATCAAATTAAGCTTGTATAAAATATGGTATGCACAAATTAATAGTTAATTGCTATTAGCTTTATACACATTAGTAAAATTTTATGTGTAAAAAAAAAACACTAATTTAATTTATTTTCTTCTAATTGGTTGCTAACTAAACTTTAATTTTATTCAGTTTTTTTTTTTTTTCTAAAAAGAAAATAAAAATAAATAAATGAACTAGTCTCAAAGCTAGTTCCAGCAAAGAGACAGCAGAAAAAATAGAGAGTAGAGAATAGAAAATAGTTCATTTTGGCAGGTGTCTGGCCATGCAGCTGGAGCCTGCTGTTAGTCCAGGGGGCTTTACTTCATTACCCTGCTCTCTGGACAGGGTCGGCTCTGCCGGCGGTGAACTGTACCCTGTTGTGGCTTTGCTGTTGCTGCAGCAGTTTTAAAGGATTTTCAATGTTCTTGCAAATTAGTTTAATCCACTGTGCGTGTGTGAGAGAGTATACATATATAAATATATATAAATGTGTGTGTGTGTGTGTGAAAAAGTTTATTGTTTTCAGTAGCAAAAGTTGCTGCAGCTTCAGTTGATGCTGATGCTGATGCTGTTGTCTGTTGCTGTTGCTGTTGCTCGTTGTTGTTTGTTGTTTGCTGTGGCTTGAGAGCATTTGGCCAGGCTTAAGCCCATTTATGTGTGTGCATTTTAGTAGATTGCCAGCATAAAAGGCACAGCCACTTCTCTGCACAAAAGTTGAATTTTGAATATGTGAAGCATTTTTTGCAATTAGCTGGCATAATGAATGCTTCAAGCTTGTGCGGCAAATGGCAGGAAACGTGATAGGAAATTGTCGAGGGGTCGTAAATATGCCAATACGCTCGCCTCAATGAATCAATGAATGTGTCAATGATTAGCATAGTGGACGCACACACAGGACACATACACACACACATACATATATACAATGGCCAATGATAGCGCAAATGTAAATATTGCACTTAGGCAGGCGACCTGCTGCTGCTGCTGCTGCTGCATCAGCCCCCCAACGGGCCAGCAATAACAAGCTAATGCAACTGCAATGTGTGGCCAACAAAGGGAGGCGGAGGTTAAGCTGAAGTCCTGTTGTGCTATAATCAGCCGAATGACTGCCAATGGACACACACAGAGAGACACAGAGAGAGGG